GGGGGGGGGGGGGCTTTGTTTTTCTTTTCCACCTTGATGAAAATTTTACTATCTCCACTGTCATAGCAGAGATAGAACTGTGGCCAGTATGTCACAACTAGTGTGACTGGTGTTATGGGCTTTTGACAGTTCTTTTTCAGGTTTTTACACACTGCTCTCCATGACCTCCATCCCAGGCCATGGGTTCTTCAGTATCAATCAAATGACAACTTGAGGGGAAGGGCCCTTCTTGGGGGTCCCCAGGGGCTGTGACCTTAGAGAAGCTTCCCACACATTAAACCAGAACTCCAGCCTACAAGAGCCTCCTCACTCCTCTCCCTCACCAATTTCTGCTGCTTCTCCTCAGGGCGCTCAGCCCCCTCCTCTCACAGGCCCTGCCAGCTGCCTCAGGCAGAGTTAAATCCTCATTCCACTGAGCCTGCTGCTTTGTTTACCCCCTCTTAGCTGGAGCTGTTTACACATGTGGCTCCTTCCCTGACACTCCTCCTGGGGCAGAGCCTGCCTCTCCCCCCGGCTTACTTATTTCCTCGCTTTGGCACTTAACCCAGCACCTGGCACTTAGTAGGCCTGTCACAGACGGCACTCAGACTGTTGAAGATGTCCAGTTTCCAACCTTCTGCTCCAGCGGTGCCTCCCCAGCCCGGTGACCTCAGAGGGCTCCTCAGAAGCCAGGACCCATGTGGGGAAGAGGGAGAGTGTTGATTAACTGGGCCACTTGCCCTGGGGGCTTCAGAGTGGTAGGGTGATGGGATGGAGGGAGGGGTGGGAGCCAGCAGGGGGCTGCAAGATCAGCCCTGCCCGTGTCTCCCAAGAGCCAGCCAGTGCCCTAGAAGCTTCTAGACTGGCCTGGACAGTGAATCCCAAATTGTCACCACCTGGCAAAGCCTGGCGTTTCCTATAAAGGGGAGGGAAGGAAGGGGGCCCCCTCAGACCCAGGACAAAGACTCCCCATGCCAGCCTAGTCATGGGAGGCCCTGCCCCAGCAGCCAGGCAGCTCCCCAACTTGGCTCCTAGCCCCAGTTCCTCCACCCCAGAACCTGGCTGGCTCCCCAGTTTGGGAGGCAGCTAGCCATGAATGAACGCAGCTCATTAGCGTTCCTAGCACATTTACTCTTGAAACAACCGCCTGGCCAGCCGCTCACCCACCACCCCCACTCTGCTTTGCTGGTTCAGTTTCCTCTCCCAGGCCCCTCCCTCTGTTGGATCTCCCTGCCCCCTCCCTACAGCAAGGCCACCTGCTCCCTCTGCACGGGTGGGGAGGAGGCAGCCTTGTCATACTGCTTCTGCCAGGAAGGCTCTGCCAAAGCCCACTGGCTACCGTCAGGGCAACCCGGGATGGCGGGGTGGGCGGGGGGGACTGGGGGCTGGGTCTCCCCATCCCAGTGGTGGGCATCTCCTCCAGCCCCCTCAGCCATGCGTGCTCAGGAGTTGAGGGCCACCTCCCGCCTGAGACTGGGGAAACCTCTGGGGAGTGTCTCCTTCCAGCTTTCTGCACAGGGCCCTCTCCTCCACCTCCACCAGCCCTTCTGAGGCACCGAGAAGCAGAGCACCTGGGTGAGGCTGCAGAGCACTGCGGTTTGGATTTCTGGACTGCAAACGGCAAGAATGAGACAAAACGCCTGCCATCTGGGCGTTCGTTCAACACCATCTATTAAGTATCTATGTATTATGTACACTGTCCTGGGACTTGGCACTTCAACAGAGAATAAGAACTGCCCTGGCCTGCCCTGAGCTCCCAGTCCAGTGGGGAACAGAAAGAGGAAAGCCCACTCTGCATGATTAGCTTGGTAAGAAGGAGTGTGGAATTGCAGAGAAGCCAGAATGTGGCGCTCAGGGTAGGGCCAGAAGGCTTCCTGGAAGAGGAGGCACTTGAGCTGAATCTTGAAGGATAAATAGGCATGGGCTGGGCAGCAAAACAGGAAGAAAGCCTTTCTGGGTGAAGAGAAGTACAAAGGAAAGGCACACAGATTGTGGCAGCATCTCAGTGGCTGAGCTGGGGCAAGTTCAGCAAGGCTAAAATGTGGCAGGTGTTCGAGTGGGAAGTGCAGGTAGAGATCTTAGAGATGGCAGGTGGGGCAGGGGCGGAGGAGGGCGGACATCCGAGAGGCCCTGGTGCAGCCATTCTGGCTTTACTGAGCTTGCAGAAGTCCCTGGCCTGTCCCCATGCTCAAGCACAAGCGCATATATGTAGGTGCCTGCAATGCACTATCCCTGGAACCAGTGACCCAGAGAGGACAGGATGATGGCAGACGAACAGTTTCAGCATATGCTTTTTTTTTTTTTTTTTTTTTTTTTTTTTTTTACTGTTAGGATTTTTTTTTTAGCTGTATAGTATGACTTAACCTCCCCATCACCACCAAAACATTTTTAAATACCTTTGTATGCTTATTATAAATGCCAATTCCCAGGACCCACCCCAGACTTTCTTAATCAAAATCTTTACTGTTAACACACTGGGGAGTGAGAAAGTATGATTCTGATGCGGGTTCCGGGGACCATGCTCTAGAGCCTGGTGTGCTGAGTTAATCAGTTTGAACTTGGACCTGAAAACTCTGGGAGCCACTGAAGGAAGGGGCCCAGTGAAGACAAAGGGTCTGAGGCCTGTCTGCCTTCCTCATCTCCAGTCTCCACACACTCTTAGCAAAGATGAGACACATCAAAGAGAAAGGCAGCCATGGGGGACTGGCAGGGAGGGGACAGAGCCACGTGGCAACGGATGCGTAGTAGTAGCTTCAATCACAAGATGTCACAGCTGGAAGGGGATAAAGAAATCATCAAATCCAAACACCACCATACAGTTGGCAGCTCAGAGAAGTGAAGCAACCAACCTAACCTCACAGGGCAAAGGAATGGCAGAGCCGGGCCATGACTGAGGCTGCATCTTGATCTGCTAGGCCACACACCTGAGAAGAACACAGGATCTTGTCCATCCTGGGCACTCCTCCTGACCCTACAACCCCAACAGGGACTGAGAAGCCAGAAGTCCCCAGGGAAGTGGTGCCAGCAGGGCTCAGGATATGGTAGCTTTAATCTCTAAACCCCTTGAGGCACTCCAACTTGAAGGAGGCTGGACTGCTTGAGGCTTTCAATGACAAAGCCTAAAGCAGAAACAAGCTCCTAGACTTAAGATCAGTGGCTTTTCTAGAGGCTACCATATGCATCCAGGACAGATGAGAAGGAAGAGACACGCAGAGGGGAGAGGGAAGAAAGGAGAGGTGATGAAGACAGAAAGCAGGGGGCAGAGTCTGTGCAGGCAGCCATTTGATCATTCATTTATCAGACACTGATTGCATGCGGACTGTGAGCCACGCATTGAAATACAAGAGATTTTTTGCTTGGGATTCATTGGGCTTCTTGTATCTTGCTCATGGTTTAATTCAAATTTGATGTTTTCCATCATTATTTCTTCAAAAGCTTTTTACATCCCCTCCTTTCTTCACCTCTGGGGACCCCAAGTACACATATGTTGGGCCACTTGACGTTGTCCCAAAGGTCACTGATGCTCTGTTCATTTTAATCTTCTCTGTGTGTTTCATCTTGGTGAGTTTCTACTGTTGTGTTTTCACGTTCATTATCTTTTCTTCTGCAGTGACTAACCTGCTGTTAAGCCCATGCAGTGCAGTTTTATCTCAGACATTGTGGTCTTCATCTCTAGAAGATCTATTTGGGTGTTTTTTCTCTCCCATATTTCTTAATGTGCTTATGGTTTCCTCTGCCTTCTCATGCATATGGAATATAGTTGTAATAACTACATCTATGAATTCTATTATCCTGCATCATTTCTGGGTCAGTTTTGATTGGTTGCTTTTTTTCTTCATTATGGGTCATATTTTCCTATGACTTTGTATCCTAGTAATTGTAGATTGGATGCCAGACATTGTGGATTTTACCTTATTGGGTGCTAGATATTCTTGTATTTCTAAAAAAATACTCTAGAACAGAGTCAAGTTACTTGAGAACAATTTGATCCTTTAAACTTTCCTAGGCAAGACCAGAGTAGCCTTTAGTGTAGGGCTGATTTCCCCACTACTGAGGCAATACCCTGTGAATAGTCTACCCAATGCCCTGTGAATTTGGAGGCTTTCTACTCCGGCTGGTGTCAACACCAACTCTGTGGGAGCTCCAAGGATTGTTTCGTCTACTCCATTTGGGTGGAACTTTCCCCAGCTTCAGATAGTTTATAGCATGCCCTGATTGATGTTCAGCTAAAGACTAGGGATGGGATGGAGCATCACAGGGAGGAACCATCTGCAAATCCCTCACTACTCTCTCTCTGCAGCAATTTCCTCTCCCATCTCCCTGGAAACTGTAGCCACCTTGGCCTCCCAATCTCTCAGCTTCAACTCCACAATTCAGCTTCATGACATGTTACACTTGGGTGCCCCTCCTGCTCTGTGGCCTGGAAACTCTCTCCAGCCTATAAGCCAAGGCAATTATAATGCTCATCATACTTGTTTTCCCTCTCAAAGGAATCACCATCCTACATTACCAGTTGTCCAATGTCTGAAAACAGTTGTTTCATTTTTGGGTTTGTTTTTGTTTTTGTTTTTGTTTTTGTTTAGTTGTTTAAGGTGGAAGGGTAAATTTGCTCATTAGTCTACCTACACAGACACAGAAGTTTGGGGGCGCCTGGATGGCTCAGTTGGTTAAGCGGCCGACTTCAGCTCAGGTCATGATCTTGTGGTTCATGGGTTCAAGCCCCGCATCAGGCTCTGTGCTGACAGCTCAGAACCTGGAGCCTGCTTTGGATTCTGTATCTCTCTCTCTCTCTCTCTCTCTCAAAATTAAACACTTTTAAAAAATCTTTTTTAAAGACAGAAGTTTGGGGGCGCCTGGGTGGCGCAGTCGGTTAAGCGGCCGACTTCAGCCAGGTCACGATCTCGCGGTCCGTGAGTTCGAGCCCCGCGTCGGGCTCTGGGCTGATGGCTCAGAGCCTGGAACCTGTTTCTGATTCTGTGTCTCCCTCTCTCTCTGTTCCTCCCCCGTTCATGCTCTGTCTCTCTCTGTCCCAAAAATAAATAAACGTTGAAAAAAAAAAAAATTAAAAAAAAAAAAAAGACAGAAGTTTGTAAGAGATGTTTAGCAACACTCTATGCCCTTTAAACTCTCCGAACATGCTAAGGAGATACAATCAAGCAGTCACTTGACTTTGACAAGTATCACGAAATTGGCCAGAGAAGAAGGGGCCTCAGTCACATGGGGCTTCTCTCAGTTCATAAAGCAGCTCACACTCTGTGCACAAGACAGTCCCTATGCTAGCATGCTCTTTCTGCCATTCTCAACATGGCTTAGTCCTCCTCCTCCTCCTATGCAACACCTCCTCCAGGAAGCCTTCCCTGACTCCGGGTTGAGTCAGCCCCCTCCCCTGTCATGCAGTCTCCTGGCTCCCTGTGCCCCCTTCAGAACACTGATACTGTCATTTGTAATTGCTTGTTTACCTAATGTCTCTCCTCTCCCCCTAGGCTGGAGCTCCATGAGGGCAGGTTCCCATCTATCTTGTTCCCTAATGCCTAGTTTAGGGACTGGAGCATAGAAAATGCTGAATAAATATTTTTACTGAAGCATGGGGTGGGGGGAGCATTCAGGGGAGGTGTATCTTGAGAATAAAGGTGCAAAAAAGGCAGGTCTCCTGTAAAAATCAGGATAATAAAGAGTCACATATGGCTAGAAAGAGAATTCCCCAGGGAGCAGTGAGTTGGGGTGTTTTGGAAATCCATGAGCATGGTATAGCTTTTCATTTATTTGTATCACCTTCAATTTCTTCCATTAATGTGTTACAGTTTTCAGAGTACAGGTTTTTCACCTCCTTGGTTAAATTTATTCCTAGGCATTTTATTCTTTTTGATTAAATTGTAAAAGAGACTGTTTTCTTAATTTCTCTTTCTGCTAGCTCATTGTTAGTGTATAGAAGAAATGCAACAGATCTCTGTATATTGATTTTGTATCCTGCAAATTTACTGAATTCATTTATTAGTAGGTTTTTTGGTGAAGTCTTTAGAGTTTTCTCTATATAGTATCATGTCATCTGCAAATAATGACAGTTTTACTTCTTCCTTTGGATGCCTTTTATTTCTCTTTCCTGTCTGATTGCTAGGGGTAGGATTTCCAGTACTAAGTTGAGTAATGGTAAATCTAATTTTTTAAAAAACATACCAAACATTAACATTATTGGGATTATGGGTGATTTTTAGCCTCTTCTTTTATACTCTTCTCTATTTTCTACAAAAAAAAACCCCACATTTTAGAAATAAAAGCATAATTACTAAATCTATAATTATTGTCTGAATAAAATTACCA